CAAACTCCTAAGCGGTAACCATGATAAGGCACATACCGATCCTGCGATTCACGGCATGTGACAAGTTGCTACACCCAGAGCTATCCCCAGGTCAGGTCAGGATAGCTCTGCACAGGCACAAGCAAGACTCGAGAGAAAAACCCACCACCCACTATTAACCCACACACCCCACACCCACCCACCCCTTTTTCTTAAATTTGTTTAAAGGAAAGTGACTTTTCCTCTCTGTTTTTCCCCCCTTTCTACTACTCTAGCCAGGAAAATGCATTGCCCAAAGTCTGCACAAGCATGCACAGATTTACACATCTGTGTGCCCTAAGGCCCAGCTGCCCTGAAGCCAGCGAGCCTGCATCCCCCAAGACAGCCCCTCCAGCCAGTGCCCTCTGCCCAGGCATACTGAAGGAAACACAAAGCAATATACACTTGCCAAGGAGCCGCCTTGTCACATGTAAAAGCAAGCACCTGCCCACAACCATAGGGTCAGGGTCCCAGGGAAACTCCCATCGGCAACTGCAGTGGAGAAAAGGTTGGTTTGGGCCTCAAAAAAGTATTTATTATGTTTGCCTCAAACCATGAAAGAAGTTTATAAACCACTGACTGAAAAAAACCCAGCATGCAATATTCAATTGATTCAAAACCATGTTATTTCTTCCCTAGCTGAGCTAAGAAGAGGTCTTTTTCTCTGACAGATTTAATCCTTTTCTTTCTCCCCTTCCTCACAGCAGTGCCTGGCAGCAGCCTCAGCCCGTGCAGAGTCAGGCAGTTGCCGGAGCATTTGAGATAGCGGCAGTAGTTTCAGTGCCTGTAATTCAGTATTGCCGGGAAATTATTTGAAACAGTCTCCCTTCTAATGACTCTGCAGTCATGGTATCAGTAAGTTGTAAAAGTTTCCAGGCAGGCACGGGCACTCGGGGCATACGCTTGTATTTGGTCCCTGGTTCGAATGCGTCGGTCTCTGCTGTACGCTTCATTCATCTTTTCCATGACACCAACCTCTCCCCCCCCACACCTTAAAATTGCTTCATTTCAATGACTTCATTTCAGATTAAAATAGCAAATGTGTAAATACTGACAATTTTTAGACTGCATCATGTACACCTCAAGACCTTAGTACTCCCCTTCGCTTTTTACCCAAACTCAGAGTTTTAAACATGCCCGTGGCTTCCTTCCCCAAAGCTCCTTCAAGCACCCCAGTGCAGCAGGAAGCAAAGTGAGTCAGAGGCGAGAGCAAAGGACAACTCGAACGCAGCCGCCTGCCGCGGATGCGTGGGTCAGCCGAGCCAGCGGGGCTCGGGATGGTCAGGCACACGGAGGGGGCTCAGTGCCAGGGCCGGGAAAGGCCGGGAACAGACTCGCAGCACCCTCAGTTGTGGGTTGTTGAGTTTTGTCTGTTTGGGTTTTTTTGGTTGTTTGTTTTGCCTTTTTTTTTTCCTAGACCATAAGCATGTTTCTAAATTGCGTGGCTGCCACAATACAGAATCAGAGTTGAGAATATGGATCTATATATGAATAGATATAAAAACATAGGCAACAGAATATCTATGTACACACACCACCCGGCAATGCATATGACCCTGCAAAAATCCCCTCACTCACCACGAGAATAAAGCCAAGTCTCCCAGATCACGAGACTGTGCAAAACCAACCCCTGTAAGACGAGGTTTGGCTCCTGCTGTGATATTTAGAAAGAGAGAGGTAAGTAGTATGTAAAAAAAGTTGAAGAAGGACATGCACTGAAAAAAGTCAACTAGGAGTAACACTGACAAGCAGACTGTGCACTAGTTATCCAAGTAGCTGTGTTTTGTTTGCTTATTTGCTTCTTGTTTATTTTTAAAATGCATTCCCAGCCATAACATCGCATCCAACAGGAGCAGCCACCACCCTGCTCATTTCAAGTCTCTCCTGCCAGGCTAACGGGGACAATCTCTCCGCATTTGTAGAAAATACAAAGGATATAGTCATGCTGGAAGACAACTGCATGACAAAACAGCAAAGCATTAACAGTGACATCTGATCAGATTTTTGTGCTCCTTTTTCCACTTCTCTCCGTAACGTCACGCCTGACACATGAGCCTGCAGAGCCAAGGCCAGCCGTGCTGTCGGTTTGCTTGGTACCGCACCATGACTGCGTCACGCAGAACTTGCCGCAAGTCACGGTCAGCGTCTCTTTTGAAGAATGCAGCCCGAGTTCGAGGTTCCTCGCGTTGACCATTTTGCAGCATGGGCATATGAGAGAAGGCAGGTGTCAAAGCATCTGCATACTCCAGACGCAGATCTGCAAGTCCCAGAAAGCATCTCTGGCATATCACTGGGACACAGACATGTAATTTATCTTAACAAATAGCTGCTCAACAGGCAATGCTACATGACCGTGATTTAAGATGCAGTTTTATGTCCAATTCACCAGCATTTAATGCTAATTTAATCAACTCTTATCCCTGACTGCTTGTTCCTGCCTTGCATTGCCCCCTGCCTCGTGCCAGGTGAAGTGTTTAGGCAGCTGAACAGTGAACCAGATTGGGAAACAGATTTGGCTGAAAAAAAAATAATTAACAATTTCATTCTTCAGACAGCTCTATTCCTAATCCACCTGGTCCCCATGAGACCACATAAATGCTTCTGCCAGCCCAGCACAGGGAAGGAGGAGGAGGACGATGACAGGCAGGGAGAACGGCCAGGACACAGAGCACAACTACTCGACTGAGCAACTCTTCAGGCAAATCATAGCCTTCACATTTAACATGCCACATTCGTTTTAGCACATTCCTGTCTGTCTCAGAGAAAGTCAGGGAGCAGAAAGCAGTTAAGTCTCACACCCACAAACTTTGCTGGAATCAAAAACAGGGAGAGGGTTTAAATTCTGTTAATGGCTTCCCCGCAATCACACATGAAAGCTGCAGAGGATCAGGGACCTAATCCCACTTCACCCAAGTTACTACATCACTGCTACCCAAAACACTGTTGAAACTCTGGTTCCAAGTGAGTATTTCAGCCCCCCCCCGCCTTTTTTTTAAGCCAGTAAACTTAATGGTAATAACTGCCTGCATGGACATACGCGCTTGATCTAAAGATATAGGGAGGTTACCCTTCATATGCATACTTCTAACAACTGATAAAGGCCAATTTAATATTTTGGTAGTCAGAAGCTGCCACTGCTTTCCGCACGTGCGGTTGGGAAACTGGTACTTTCCCCTTATTCAAACGTCTTGCAGGGGCACAAGAGCCAAGGCCTGCTCTGCAAAACCTGCCACACGGGACCCGTGTGTTCAAAAGAGCCCCTCTTGTCCTAACGTAATCCCTAAGTAACATTAAAGGCTTATTTATATCTTAAGTAGGACAGATCATGTCTTAATTGCCAAGGGTCCGGCTGAAAAGAGGAGGATTATGCTGCTGCGGCAGATCAACGCAGCGTGCACGAACCGGAGGCCGTGGATAGATGAATCCGTGTGCACTACCTCAACCTTCCTCCAGCAGCTACAGGGCATGCAAAGATGCAGGGACACACAATTATTTTAAGGTTAAAACAGAATAGAAACCATCCTGGAAACAACCAGGTCACTGTCTTGGAGAACATACCTTTTTTACAGCCAGACTTCAATTGTATTTCAGATCAACTCCACATTGCTACGTAGGAAGAGCTGCAGCACAAGCAGGTACCAGCGGAGCACAGGTACGCTTAGGCTGGACGTCTGGACCTTGAATACTAAAAATTCTTCTAGAAAACCTGGAGGGAAAATACAGCCAAGGAGCTTAAAATAGGTCTGGACGATCACCTACCACGGACCCTGGAGAACAAGCCCAAGAGTCTG